TGTTTTTTATTTAAATTATATTCAGTCAAGAAGTCAATAAGTAACTGTTACACAATCCTGATCTCAATATTGACAAAAATAAATGTGATTATGGTGTTTGCCGTAATCATACAGCCCTAATGTGACAGTGGTCTTAACAAGTCTGTCTTGCAAAAAAACTTAAATTCACAATTCACAAAAAAATCATACTCATTAAAGATGTGAGATTAATTTAGTGTCTGCAAGCTCTATAAATACGTTACGCACCTGATTTCATTAGTTCCCAGCTGCACCACACAGACCCGACACACAGAACAGGCAAGCCAAGCTCACCAGAAAACAGATCCTGGATGAGAGACCACAGTGACAAATGTTAAGTCAAATAAACCGAGTGAGAATGGCTGTATTACTGTGGGTGTTTTTTTTTATTTTTACCTTGTGTACTTTTGGCAGGACAGCTACAATGTGTTGCGCGAGGGCTTTTCCAGATTCCGTGAACACGTGTTGGCACAAAGCATCACCAGCACTGCCACCTGATGCACACACAAACATCATGTCATAATGTGTGGCATAATGCACACACAACCTCACTGCATACATCAGTAGCATACAGTACCTTCAGCTAGTTTCCTACAGAACCCTGCAAAGTGTGACTTCTGAAAGTTTCTGTACAAATGAGGAAGCATTCCCATCAAATCCGACACCTGGAGATGAACATGACAAGGAAACACCATCATTTCTTTTCAAGTGAAGCAACATATTAAATTAAATGAACAACAAGTCCTAACCTGGAAATATTCTTCCATTGCCTTCTTAACATAGGTGATATCATGAGGGGATGTGACAAGGTTATCTCTGGCATCAAAAACCGTTTTAACAGCCATGTGAGAAATCCAGTATGCTAGAAGAGGATGAGGACAGAGAAAAAGAAAATGCTTAGGCCCTGTTAACATCTTATCAGATCAGAAAGGGCAGATACAGATTGTCGTATGGACCTGGTAGCTTGACATCAAGTATTTATGAAGTCATCTGAATGTCAGGTTGTTGGTTTTTTTTTAAAGAAATTAATACTTTTTATTCAGCAAGGACACATTTATTAAATTTAAAGTAACAGAAAATATATTTAATGTTCTTTTGAACTTTCTACTCAAAGACTGGAAAAAAAAAAATGTATCATGGTTTCCACAAAAATATTAAGCAGCACAATTGGTTTCAAACATTCTTGAGAACCAGATCAGAATATTACAATGATTTCTGAAGGATCATGTGTGAAAGTTGCTGCTAAAAAAAATCAGCTTTGCCATCACAGGAATAAATAACATTTTAATTATTATAGTTTCTCAGCATTGGGGAGAAGCTAACTACAAATAGCGATGCTACTAACTTAAAGTATTAGTTCACTTTAGAATTAAAAAGTCCTGATAATTTACTCACCCCCACGTCAACAAAGATGTTCATGTCTTTCTTTCTTCAGTCGAAAAGAAATGAAGGTTTTTGAGGGTACAAACTGTACCGTTGGTTCCAGTTTTAGTCCACTATATGGCAAAAAATCCTGGCGTGTTTTCCTCAAAAACCTTAACCTCTTTCCGAAAGAAAGAAAGACATGAACCTCTTGGATGACGTGGGGGTGAGTAAATTATCAGGAAATTTTAGTTCTGAAGTGAATAAATCTTTGAACTACATTTTTCAGCAGCTTTGAAAACAGTGTAGCCTTTCCAGTAGCTAACTACTTTTCCCATCAAGCTTCAGTGTAGCGTGACCAAAAGCTACATTACGTTTTGACGAACCTGTAATGTACTGAGAAGCACAGTGTCGTCTTCGATTTATTATGGCGCTTTATTGCACTCTACGTATATAAAATGTCCGCCAGTTTTTTAATGAACCTAAAAGATCACTAACATTGAGTTTTGCGCCACTGCTTTGGCAAAGCATCTGTCAATCGAACAGAAAACAAAATCCCAATAGAGCTTAGTGTGTTTATCACACAGAGCCTGATCTAATTAAATAGGTTTCAGAGTGAAGGACACTGTTGAACAGTAGTGTATACGGATTGCTTTTTCCTAGTTTGACAAATTATCAAATCTTACCAAGCTGGCAAACCATTGTTTTAGTACGATTACTCATTACTTGACTAAATAATGCTTAGCTATTCCACAGGACAAATTTGTGTCTCTGAGCTTATTTACATTACTATCCTAAAAGGTGTGCACATTTCAATTATCTGGACTTGCAGGGCTCCCTAAACTTCCACAGACATCTGTTCAGTAAAAAAGCATAAAGCAACTTGGTGTATTTCTACTGAATTTGGTTTAAGTGATCAGATGACAACACGTTTCAGGGACACACTGAATCCAAGCTGTTCACCTACGATAAGTTCACTCAGGTGGCTGCAAATCAGATTCATTTGTAAGATAAGATAACACCTTTCTAAGATAAGACTGGGTGTTTATGTGATATCAGTGCTGTAATATCAATCAGTTTCTCTTTCCACATGATTACCTGAGCCCTCGTCTCCCATCATGTGACCCCAGCCCCCACAGCCAACCTCTGTGCCATCTGGATTCACCAACTTGCAGTTCGAACCAGTGCCTGATATCACTACTATTCCTCCTTTGACAAAAAGACAGAGAGAAAGGGTTAGGAATGGGTGACAGTTGTGTCCTGAGATTCTTTACTCCTTTTGGTTGCAAATACACTGCATTTAATACCATAGTCACTGGCAGTTGCCATAGCACCAATTGCATCAGTGGTAATGAAATAACTTTGACTCAGTTTAGGGTATCTGTCCCTCATGTCGTCAATCAGCTTCTGAATAGCAGACTTCTGCTCTCCACCACTCAAAGACATGCCCTGTCAACACAATGTAGACAACGTCAAAGCGACCCGAAGTGGAATGTGCTGAGGGTGACTGACCGATGCATTGCCTCACCAATGAACAAACTGGTGTGTCCGGGTCCAGCCCTGCCTTGATTTTAGCTCTCTGGACCATGTCGTGGATTCCACTGATACATTTATCAACACCAACCAACTACAATAGAACAGAAAATGATGAAGACAGAATCAAGTACACAATAAGTATTTTCAGTCCATATTGAAGGATGTTCTCCCATCTCACCCAGTGGTTGGTACATGGTCCATCTGTCTCAGCTAGGATATGTCCCTCAGCAGAGACCAGCACTGCTTTAGAGTGTGTCCCACCGCTATCAAGAAAAGTATCTCATTCAAGCTACTGTCACTTTCGTTTACTCATTTCCAAACTGGCAGGAAAAACACGCTAAAGACACAGTGTTGCTTTTAAATCCAAGCTTTTGTATGGTAAAATGTCATTAAAAACGAATTATATTCCTTTACATTATCATGTTTATATAAACTTACCCCTCCACTCCTCCGTACACTGCGCTCATCTCGTCCGCTTCCTCTTTAGTCACATGACCGCTCACACTGAGCTCAGCTGCTTCAAACGACTTTCAGTGAATAACACACGGACTTTGACATAGCCATTTTTATTACCGAGATCAGCATAAAACTCGATTCACACCCATTTTTATCATCTGTCTATATTTAAGTAAAGATAAGATAATATAATTCGTTTTCCCGCATATTTTAGTTTTAGATTTCTCCAGAATTATTTCAGTAGGCCTAAATGTTTATGTGGAGTAAAACAATCACAAACATTTTTAAACAATCAACACAAATTAAAAATATATATTAAATATATGAATATATTTTTGTGTATATGTATATCCAATATCCACTCTGGCCAATAGATGGCAGTATTGAATGATTGTTCCAAGCGCCTCACATGACAAACAGATGCACTATGAATTATTTTTATGTTGTCCAAATTATTATTATTTACATTATTGACTTACAAATGCTTTCTTCAAAATGTTGATGTACAGCCTACAAGAAAACAGCAAAATACAGAATAATAAACAGAATATAATGAAACATTTATAGGCTAATTAAAATATTGCAAATGAAATTTCAGAGTGTTGCGCAGTGATTGTGTTATTCCCCACTGCATTTGTGATTCACTCTATGTTGACCCACGTGTCTCACTGACGAATGGAGAGAAAATAGCCACAATTTCATCATGAATGTGCACTTACCACAAGTTGATGACGTGCACTTGTGTAGGCTATTACAGAAATCTTTGAATCACAATAGTAGATTACGTACATATAGATGCTGAATCCTGATCCAGTTCTTACAGGTAAAGATGTTTTAGGCTTTTGATGTTTGCTATAAAAGCTGTAAGATATCGTAACTAAAATTATAAAAAAATATAATTGCTGCAAAATTATGGCATAAGGTGCAAAATACTGATTTGTTTGCACCTCATTTTTGCTTTTTCATCCCATTACTCCTGCTTCCATAACTGAATCACGGTGACATGAACCAAGACAATTTGCAACAATATTTAATTTATAACAGAAAACCAAATAATAAATGTTTGCAAGACATGTACAGTACAAGAATGTGTGGGATAAAAGAAAAACAAATCAGTTGATCTAATATGAAAAAGCATGTGTGAGCAAACCATAAGATACAGCCCAGTGAAGGACATCTCTCAAATGCTTAGTTAGACCAAACAGTGCATTCCTCCCTAAAAAATAAAAAGTCTAATCATGAAAGTCAATATGACATCCAGGATTTTACATTAAAAGAACCATAATTATTTCAGTGCTAAATAATTGCTGTTAACGGTTGAGAATGGAAATTATGGAGAATTAATAAATGGAGAATAAATTAGCAGTAACAACAGCATAATGGCAGCTATAAATTAATGTTGTCAGTGAAAAATCACAAGACGGTTGCTGCACCTCTCTTATGATTTTTCACAGAAACGAATAACAGGTATTATAACATATACATTATAATTGCAAGTGAAAAGATTTGGTTTCAGGCGTCATGGCTATGTTTGGGTTGAGGAGTAGGTGGGGGGAAAGGCAGTGAGCGCGCGCGCTTCCTCTCTCATGTGTGTATGAGAGAGAGAGAGAGAGAGAAAGAGAGAGAGAGAGTGAGTGAGAGAGAGAGAGAGAGAGAGAGAGAGACGCGTCTCAAAACTCAGGACCAGTAGCATGAAAACACTCTGTTATAACGTTTCGCTATTCCCTTTCAAACATTCATTTAACAGTTCGATTCATCTTAATGATTTCCCGTCGAAACGCCCCTGAAGAAAAAGTTTGACAAGCGGAAGTTCGCGCGGTAGGAAATCGGAAAAAGTCTAAAGATTTGTGAAATATTTATCCGTTATCTTGCTGTGCAGCGGTAGAGTGTTTGAAAAATGGACACTCACGTTAAGGAGGGACAACTGTACGTCCAGCATCAGAAGTTTGGAAAGGTAAGATCTTGTCTCATATAGTGTTTGATTTTTCAGGCAATATGACGATGTCTGACATGATAGTCTGTCAGGAGTATCTTACAAAACACCAGTTTAAACACATGTGCCAACTTCTCAGATATGTCATCTTTGTGTTCTTGTTTGAAAACCGTTCTATACATTATAGCCTAATACATACATTATATGCATGTATACATTATAACCATGAAAATAATTAAATAGAAATTTGCACCTTTAAACTTTAATTTTGCAATAAGTTTGCAACTTATTTTGAAACTGTTTCAAAGTTGTTGTTTTTCAAGTCTCTAATATCAATATATATATATAATCTTTTTTTAATGATTCGTCTTTTATATGAAATGTCAAAATATGACATTGAGGGAGGAAAATTAATTTCTGCGTGATTTTGTGCAACACTGACTTTGATTTTTATTCTTTTTTTCTAATATTTTAAAACAGTATTGCATAACTGCTGTTTGTTTAAATAAATAATAAAGTAAAAGTATGCATAACCATACAATTTCGTGATCGCAGAGACTTTAAGTCTGAAATATATAAAAAAATATGACTATACAAATGAAATGCATTTATTTTTAAGTAACTTTATTGGTCCGGGCCATCAAACCAATGTTTTAACATTTACAAATTCAAATTTATCCAATTATATAGAGAGTGACAGATGGAAGAGGACCTACGACAACAACCAAAATGTTTTAAATGTCAACTTAAAAAAAAAAAAAAATCTAAATTAACATTTTACAAACAACGTTTCTTTAAGAGTAAGAAGGAATGGCTTTTATCTCTATTCCTCTCCTGCGTCATGAGATAGTCACATGAATGAGTACATCACATCCTGCTACAACACCTCTTAAACTATAAACTGTCTTCATGCACATTCTGTTTTTAGGTCAGTAACTATAAACATAGATTCCTTTTCCTTAATGATATCTAACCACCAAACAAGAGTAGGTTATAGCCTAGATACACACGACCAGCTCTAAATAATTTCCACTCTCTTGTCTGTCCATGTGCCGTGGAAAATGCTACATCACAGACACATGACCACAAAAGGTTCTGTTTGTTTTCTCTCTCATTGAATGTGTTAGGCATATATTTTTGTCATTCTTTAGACATTGATATGAGTCATATGTCTTCAGTCAGACCGGTCTTGGATCAAAAACATTTTGCTGGAGCGATGGCTTGTCATTAATTCATTATTCACTTCCTCTGTCTGAAACTTTTTTGAGATATGGAAGTAGGCAAATTATGAGCACACAGCACAGCTATACTGTATGTCTTTAGCCTGAGGCAATGGCAGAAATTCAAATTGAGGATAAAACTTTAACGCTGCCATTCATTCATGCAGTTTTTTCTCAGATCAGTTTACTAGCTTAGTTACAACCCAATAGCAAAATACAAATATCTGGTCAACAATAACACTAGATTTCCATGACTAAAAATAAACAAGTTTGTGCTTGGTGACGCCTCTTTAGCGGCTGATGATGAATTCATGGCTGAATCACAGGATCGTGCTGCTGTGAGATTTTTGTGCTGGAAATGTATATTCTGCACAAGCATTCAATGCGACTGTCTTTCCCTGGCATCATGATGAACACATGGTTGCACTTTTGGGGGACCTAAAACCTGATTCCCTTCAGTTGTGTAAGGAGGTTTTTGTTTATGAAGGATTGGATAGTTTTGCTAGAGGCTGGAATCAATGTAACGTGTGACTGTAGGCTTGCGAATCAAACTGTCAACAAGATTTGGAAACACAAGGAGAAGAATAAAATATATGAAAATGTTGTAAGTGCATGTACCTTGTTTAACAACTCTGTGGAAGGTGTGCAAAGTAAAACATGAGACAAATCAAGTCAAGTCACCTACTTTACCGCGTTTTACAGTGATAACAGGAAAATGATTCAACGATGCATACGGAGTTCATTTCGATTATCTTAAAGAAAAGTGTCATCGTTCAGCCGAAGTTAGTTCAGAGTTGATTCAGTTCTGTTGTAAAATATAAAGAATCAATCAATATATAATTATCTATGAAGCAGTTCTGCAGAAAAACAGCGTTGTCGTCCAGCTCAGTTCTCATAAAATAGTGTATCAATAGCAGACAAATCAATACTATTGTTAAGATCAAACAAATCTATTGCTTTTTTCTTTTTTAGTACAATAAATTATTATTTTTTCTTACCCTGTTATTAGAGAGCTGTTTGTATTGCATGCCCAACATGAGCATGAGCACAGACAAGAATGAACATTTTCTCTATTTTCTGAACTTGAGAAAATAGAGAAAGATTGATAAAAAAAAAAAAAATAGAACTTTATCCATGGTAGTCAGTTTTCAATATTTCACACACTACATTTGTAGGTCATAAAGGCATAAAGGTTTTTATTTTCCTATTTGAGGTCAATAACATTGCCACATATGGCATGCAACAACCCCAGAACCTGCTTTAATGCTAGTCCTTATATGGATGTAGATCTCTTTTACAACTTAAAAGTGTCTCTTTGTCACTCTAACTAACACATTTCTGTTTGACACTGTTTGTTTCAGAAAGAGACTAAGCATCATTTAAATATTTGTGCTACTGAACCAAGCACATGCAAATTGAGTACCCATGCGGCTTATGATTGATGTTTTAAACAACTTGCTTCAACATTTTAACACTGCATTGTTTCTCACCCTACACCTCAGTCGAGGTGTAAAATCACCAAAAGAAAAAACTGTAGAACAAAACCCTTTCCATTGCAATTTCATGTCACATTTGATCTGGAATATTGTGACAGGTCAAACAGTTTACAATCCTTAGACTTGTTTGTGTATGAAAGTATGATAACTTTGGCCTGGCCCACATTGGCCTTTGCTCTTACTTTTACTACAGCTCAAGGATCTTTAGAGTCAAACCAAATAGACACTGTACAATAAATGGAAAACTAATACATTGGTGGTGTTTTATATATTTCTGATCCTTCCCAAACAGTACGATCTGTATGCTCTTCTGGGCTTTGTTCTATGCAAATTGTCTTGCATGCTGCAGTATTGTACAAGGCAGGTTTGTATTAAATTATATAGTCAGCTTCAGAAAGACGAGCGGCACTGTGTTCATTTCCACGCATGCCGATTCAAATACTTATAATAGTGTTTTCAGGAAAACTAATTTCACAATAAATGCTCAAACTCTAAAGTTTACAGAATTTCACCAAAATAAAAGCTTGAGTATTTGTCATGTTAAAAGCTTGAAAGCTGGAATTTGAGACATAAATATTTATATTGTATGTAAGCGCTCAGTTGACTGTCACTATTAACCCCTTACACACTGGCAGCATTTTTTATGATTTCATGATATTTCTAAGTGGCATACTTAAAAGTAATGGCTTATAACTCTGCAAATAAAAATAAAACATTTTATCAAGTGCATGGACTCATTTGCTTAAAAACCTTTTAAAAATTGAAAAAAAAATTGCTCTTTATACACAGCTTGCTGACAAGACATAACAAAGAAAGATTTCAAATTATTACTATGTTCTGCATTAAAGGAGAACTCCGGCGAACAATGAACCTTTGGTCTAATAAAACATCGGTACCTAGTCAATCGTTCTCTGAGATTTGTTTTCATGATAATCGAATGTAAAGAGTTTTATCTCTAAAAACTGTTTAGCGTATAATGCTAGTAATGGGGGCATTGACTAAGTAAAAAGAAATCGCTAGTTTATACCACTAAAAAGGCTCAAAATAGCCCCACACTAACACAGTAACATAATGAGGGTCCATACATGCAAAACGAAGCATTGAGAACTTTGTAAGTGTACAGACCGTTTAATAAAATGAAGACAGTTCACTTTGTAGTCTCGATAAGTCGATCCCCGAACGCCGCTCATACAGTTCAGAAGTTCGCTGAACTTCATAGAGTTCAGATCACTCAGCACGACGTTCGTGGTTTGACTTGTCGAGACTATTTTTTAAGATGGCTCCTGTCTGTATAAGCGAAGTGAACTGTCTTCATAAAGTATCTTCTTATTAAACGGTCTGTACACTTACAAAGTTCTCAATGCTTCGTTTTGCATGTATGGACCCTCATTATGTTACTGCGTTAGTGTGGGGCTATTTTGAGCCTTTTTAGTGGTATAAACTAGCGATTTCTTTTTACTTAGTCAATGCCCCCATTACTAGCATTATACGCTAAACAGTTTTTAGAGATAAAACTCTTTACATTCGATTGTCATGAAAACAAATCTCAGAGAACGATTGACTAGGTACCGATGTTTTATTAGACCAAAGGTTCATTGTTCGCCGGAGTTCTCCTTTAAAAGTATGAAACTTGTGTAAAATTATGTACAATACGTCATCAATCATGAGCTGAAATTCAGGCCCTGAAGAGATCCAATACTTGGTGCCCAGGTATCGATATGATGATATCCCCATGAAAAATATTGCAATTTACAAACTTTTCCAAAAGTTTGGAAACCCCTGGTATGATAGCAATATGTCAGTCATTTAGCTTATTTTTTTAATACTCAAATACACAAAGTGGAACATTTGTTTTACCACTGTCTTGTTCTCTTTTTAACTCTAGTCTGGTCTGCTTCTTTTATTGGTATGTGGGAAGGCAATTGCTCACTCACACTTTGTGCAGTGAATAGTTATTTTTTCTCTCGTCATCTCTAAGCAAGTCACTGACTGAGCATCAGTCATACTGTTTTAAAAGAGCTTTGTGAATTATTTGAGAGTTAAAATATAATTTTTGAACTGTACTTTACTAGAACATATTAGTATGTGGACCACGGTGGGAGCAAACTATTAATCAAATCCAAATGTTCTGAAATGTTCATGTTTATTTCAAATTTCATGAATGGAAATGCATATGGCTGAATAGGGAAACCATCTCTCTGACAGCGTGCAAATACAGCGAAATGAGTTCTATTTCGTTGTTTATTGCACGTCAACGGTATAAAATCACTTGTTTTTAAATCACAATGCTTAAAAACATCCAAAA